GTAGTTGAATGCATGTGCTTATTTGATTTTTTTGGTCTAATACCATTGCAAAAATTGATATCGTTATTTTTTGCAATTTTCATTGTCACTCGTCTACACTTTCGTCGTTTCCCAACGCGAAAAAAACAACCTCTACGTTGAATCCGTTGTACAGTTTTTTGTGTGTCACTTTTGCTGTTTCTCGTTAAGACCAAACAAGGACACTTTCGGAGACAGGTTTTTAGGATATTTGAAATTTAGAAAAAAAGAAAAGAAGAAATAAGAAATAAAAAGAGAATGAGAAAGCGAAATTCAAAAACAACACCGACACAAATAACAGCGTCGATAGTGTTTCCAGAAGGGCGAAACGAATGTTTATGAATCATAGCACGTACACATCTAATATAATAGGACACCTGTGAGAGCAGAAAAACATATCAACAACAAAAACTCTATATTGGGGTTGCATACCCAACAACTATATTAATGATTTGGGCGTTTTTTATTTTCGGAAAAACGAATAACATCGTTGAAACACATCAGCAAAAAAGAACTACCAAAAATACCTTCCGAATCGATTTCTATCTCGTTTCGAACGAATAAAAAATTGTCATTCTGAGGGAATGAACGTTGAAATGAAAAATCACTGTCAAATATAGAAGAAATTCTTGAACAGTATCGACAATGTAACACAATCCTTTGATTAATTGTTCTTTAAAGAAGTTGAATTTTTTCATAAATTACCTTGTTGATACATTATTTTTGTCTTGTCACTATCGAATCTCACCTGCCACAATGATTTATATTGGTCAGTCGGCTTCTGTTCGAAACGAACAAAACTCTTCGTTGCTCAGCACCCTAAAAAACGGAAGATACGCACTAGTTGTTGAACGAATTACACAACAAAATGAAATCTTTTCGGTCATTCACTCACCGAAGGTCATTATCATCTTCATTTAGTCACTGCCCTTGAAATCAATTTTCAAATTCAACAGCTGATTCGTTCACAACTTTGAAATCCGACTCTCATGCAAAAATGATAGCAGTTCAAAAATGCATCAAGCTTGTGATTATGTGTAGTGCTTATGATGACAAATTTTTGAGAACAAAAGTAAATTTGTGAGCAGTATGGAGAACGAGTTTTTATGTGTTGTTTGCATGCACACAGCGTATTCAAATGAGTGCGATGTTTGTAGGAATAATGACCGTGTCAGCAATGCGTTGAATTCGATGCATCAACTCGATAAACCTTTCCAAATAATCCGTATATGTATATCTATCAAATTCGCAAACAGTTCGCAACATTTCGTCATTGCGTATTCTATCGATCAGATAAAATTACAGAAAAATAATATCTGCATAATTGTATTCGAGATTATTTGGACTTTCATAGTCATGAAGTGTAGCTGAAGAAGAAAAACTGTATGCGTGATAATGAGATGTGTGGATGAGCATAGTGATATGATCGGTGCGTTGAACAAAAAGGGATGCATTTGAATAGTGGCGTTTATGGCTAGAATAAATCCATGAATGGTGTGATGAATGAAGGATGAACGTGGCTGATGAATATATGAATAGCAATGAGCAATTAGCATTGTGTTAGCGGTTCAGGTAGTTGAGTGGATATGGAAGTGCGAAAAGAGTGAGCGGCGAATTAAGAGACACTTCGGTGAATTAATGAATGTGTGGGAATGGATGTACAACTCAAATGGATAAATACAATAGCACTGACCCTAAGATGACCTCCGCACGGTGCAATTATGAATGCTGTGCGTAGACTTGAAACATGATACAAAACACAAAAATAGCGCTATCATCAACAAAATAAACCACTGACAAAATGCTAATCCGTTGTTGCGATTTTGCATCACGACAAGAAGAAGGGGTTGCAAGATGGCTTCGGTCTGGCTCCGTTTCGAAAAATCTCTGATCGTGAGACAATGACAGAAACATTTTTTTTGGCTACGTTCGTACAAAAAAGTGATTACTTTCAGCGGTTCGAGAAGATCGAATGCGCGGTGGACGGAATAAATTCGGTTCGTACTATAAACGTGATCGAGCACAACGTATGCAACGTATCGCATTACGCAGTAACGCACCTCAACCTTTCTATCCACAACATGTCACTGATCACCATGTTTCTAGCAGGTACTTATAGCACTCAATCGATTCATCACAATCAATCACCTCATTGTGGAAATAATAGCCGAAGATAAAACATAGGGATAAAAATGCGTTTTTTAAAACTGTTCAGTTTTCAGTTAAGGATGTTTTTTTTCAGTCTTATCAGTATTCAGCTTCTGTTTCCATAAAGAAGCTAACGTTCGGCATCAGCACTGCTTCACCTTCAGTTTTAATTTTGAATCGAATTTCAGTACTCACGACCAAACACCGCCAGTGCAGTACTTCGATAATCAAAACAATCAAAAGTTCAAAAATGATTACGATGCTTTACTGCAGTCACCAACACTCTCGAGTAGTACGCAGCCGTCAACTAGTGAGTTTGATATTGGCTTGTTGTTGCTTTCAGATGAATCTGTTCATAATTGATTGCCTTTCCTTTTGAATATCTATTCGGCGTACTAGATGATCATACAGTAGCTGACTGCAATAGAAAAAAAAGGTTCTTGAGTGTGAACCTTTAAGTGTTTGTCACTGACGTTAACCAAATGTGAAATAAGTTTCTTTCACAATTGAACACAATAATGCATTGAATTTAAAAAATATGTATCTCTGAAGGCTACCAAAAAACACACTTCTACTGATCACTTCTTTTGTTAATGGTTTAACGAACCAATTGAGTAGAACATCAAACGTCAATCGTTTCCATGATGCCAGTAGATTATATTGAATCGAAATAAAATGTCCAAAAGCGCTGGCCTGGTTCTACTAGACTGTTGCAATTCGCCAGAAGTGATGCAAAGAATGAATATTTCAGATTTTGTGATGCATCGACCGGGTGCCTATTTGCCAAACTGTGACAATTTAGCTGCTCTTCTGGGTTCATCAATAGATGATCCATTGCTGCGCACATCATCGTTCCCTCTGTATTCATGTGTCAAACCAGAACCCTTCGAAACCTATCCAGAAACAGCAGCAACAACGACCTTTCCACAGCCGCCATTACCTGATTATGCATCGTTTTGTCCAACATCTTCTTACGCACCTATGTCCAATATGGCGCCTATATCGGCATCAAGCTCTGGATCTGACCGTTCTTCTTCACCTCTCTTGCCCATTTGTCCTGTACCAACTGAAAAGACTATCGATAGTGTGTTCTACACTCAAAAGCAGTCAACAATGCTTAGCACGTGTGCTGAGTCGCTCATGGAACCAACACTTCTGCTACAGTTACTCAATAAAGGCGATAAAACGCGAGATGCATTCCAATTCTGTAAATCGGTCATCGAAGAAAATCTTAATCAAATCGTTATTTGGGCAAAAAATGCACCGTATTTCGATAAATTGCATGTAAGTGTTTGAATATTACTCTGATCAGTTCATCGATTTGGTGTTTGGAATCACGATTCAAATAACGATGTAAGGATCACATTAATTTGTTTGCAGGTAGAAGATCAAATAGTGTTAATCTATTCGGCATGGGCACCGATTCACGTTCTCGACTTCACTTATCATCTGCTACACAATCATCTTCCTTTATCGATTCAGTTCGGCAATTCTGCGTTCGTTTTTTCAGATTAATGAACTCTTTTTCAATCATTTTCGAACTCCCCTACCAGAAGCAAGCTCTTCGAGGATGTTTTAAAAGCTTGTTTAAGACATTTGCGTGATATTGAATGTGAAGAGAAGAGAG